TTGAAATCCAGACCCATAAATGTGATTTCTTACTTTAAAGATACCTTCAATCTGAAAATGCCCAGCTAGCATCCATCTTACTACTTAGAAGAATGGTTATTATTCTTCATATCAAAATAACATTATAGTGATTGTCAAAGGCCATGAGGGAAAATAGTTTATGAAAAACAACTTCCCTTCAGCGCATACTCTAAAATTGTAGCAATTAACTTATCTGTGCTTGAGTTCAGCTACCTTCACGGAAAGAGGATCACTATTCTGCACTATTTCAAAGGTGAGACTGGCTTTGATTCTGGAATTGGCAGAATGTAGCTTATTCCCATACCTCTTGTATAGATAGTGCTGGGAAGCCAATCTCAATGTCTTTCTGCTAAGATAGCCCAGGCTTCCCAATTCACATAATGCCTACAACCTGCTTTCAGATCCAAAATGATTAGATTAACTACTATATGGCTCCCAGAGAAAAGGGCCCAGCACTTGCTTAGCCAACTAAATTTTCCCATAATCATTCAGAGTTCACTGCTATGACCAGACTCCTGAAGTAAACCCTCAGCTGCGCTTTTCAACTTCTTTTTCTCAGCACCAAGAAACACAGTCAATAAGCACTGCTCAGAATGTGTTCAAGGCAAACAGGCACTGCTTATCATTTGATCACAATCAGTTTTAGATGCCTAAAATCTGTACCTTATTAATAATGCTGCTTCATTCACTATGCAGACAAAACAAACTACCTGTGGAAAGCATCCAAGATGACTAAGTCTTCCAGTGGACAGTAACTTTTCTCAAAAAACAAAAATGGAGAAGTTAGTACCTCTTAAAGTTTCCTTAAACTCTTTTCAGTCTATCAGTAACATTAATTAGATGCATCCAGTTCCTGTCCTAGGCTAATGTACATTGCTCAGGGTGATAACGTAACGAAAAACAATGTGGACAATTAAAAGGTGCAGGTAAGTCCAAACCCCTTTTGTAAAATTTTACTGAAGCCTCTTAACAAAAAGTTTATGGATCAAGAAATGGGTTGCAAAGGAATTTATCTGCATTTTTTGTTTCCGTGCAAGAAAATGAAGGATAAATGGAAAAGCAAAGTCTGGATACCTGTTACTGGGACAATCAATATCTGAATAAACAATCACCCAGGACTGCTGCTTTCAGACCCAGAGGCTCTCAGAAAAGGCATTACAAAGTACATTTAAGTTAATATTTCCAAATAGATGTGCCTCATTCATACTAACTTCTATATGGCATTTTAATACAAATGTTACTGTGTTATAATGTAACTCTTAGAGCCTAAAAAATCATGTTTTCTCTCGTTAAAAACAATAACTTATGTGAAGAGAGAACAGTCCACTTAACTTTCCCTAAATACTGAAGTGGACTTGCTACATCTTTCAAACCACTCAGAAAAAGTACCATTTTAAGGTGTTTTATATAATGTAATCAAGCAGTTAACAGTCATTCCCATTAAATGCTTATGTTTCACTTGAAATTTCTACAAACTAAAGCGCTGTCTAAATCTGAATTATGAGCATTAATTAAACTACTGCCTGGCCATAAGCAAGTGTCTATTCTGACAATACAGAACTGAGGAAAAATTCGCAGGCCATTTCTTGATAGTTCTCAGGTCAGTCACCTAACAGGGGGTCAATTAGTAATGACATTTAATGCAAAGATGAAATTTTGTAGCTGGACATTTTTACTCCACACTTTTTAATTTAATGATGGCAAAATACTTATGAAGTGGGACCAGGAGGAAGAAATTAGAAGGAATTAAACTATGTCCTCAGAAGGAGTAACAGAAGGTATTCAGAATAAGAATGAATAGGACACCGAGGGCTCTCATGGCCATCCTCACATGATGGGACAACCCGAAGCCTGAGTCTGAGGGAAGCCCAGCTGAGTGTCCGACTAGAAAAGGGGAGCGACACAGGGGGCAGAAGGAGGGGTTACAAGTGATCTGACTTCTTCCCTACCCAGTAAAAGAACAGATGATCTTTAAATTCCGGTGAGTAAATTTAGTATTACTTCAGGAGATACTGACCAAAAATACACTTTTTCTCACGTCCACCGATTTCAAATTTAAAGGCTTAAAAAATTAGCTGATTAGCTATGACGCACTTAACATGCAAGTGTCAAGTGTCCTCAGCTGACTGTGAGAAACTGATCTGCTAGCCAATGCCTTTGTAAGCAAACATGGGCCACCAACTGGCTACATTTATGAATTATGCCAAAAAACTTACCTTTTCTGTTTGCCATTTTCAGTCTAAGGACCACAGGCCACTTTACTTTGTACTCCTTTATTGTTAATCCTTTTTAAAAATGTATGCTTCCCTAAAAAGGAACTTTGCACATAGAGAATTTGTTACCTTGATCCTCAATGTATTCTGTTTTATGTAATATAGACACCGAAAATAGTTTGGAGAGTCAATACCTGTTATAAGAGATGTCCTATAAAAAACACTCATGGCATTTAAAAAGTTTGTGTGAACCAAACTCCAAGTATCTGAAAGTATTTTAACTTCTTTGGTTTACATTTAAAAGAATAAGATTATTTTTTCCTGCTCAGGCTTTTCAGACATTTCAAATCCTACAGCCAAGCCTGATCACATCTTACCCAATCCCAATTATGTTGGATAACAGGGTAATATAATATGCCTATTATTTGCTTTAGAAAATTTAGAAGCTACCAAGCTCCTAAACTTATGATTAGATGATAGTAAATGCCAGGCCATAAAAAATACTTCCCCCAAAGTTTATCTATATACCTAGAAAACTAAAGGCAATTAATTAAATTTATACATGTGTGTTCTGAAGAAAGGATTAGATAACTTGGGAGAATTGATTCTTATGTAATCAATTCTAACTTTAGCCCTTTACAACTGTATTATAACTTTATTTAACTTGGTAAAAGCCAAAATTGATGGTTCTTAACATGGTATGTGGAGATCAAAATGAAAGAATACAAAGTACCTTATTAAAAAAAAAAACATTCAGCTCAATCCTGGTTCCCTCAATATTACTGCCAAACTTCTGTAAAAGAAACCTTGTTAATAAAGAAAGACTAACAGCAACATAGAAGATGATTAAAAAAAATGTTCATTTACCAATTTTGACAATCTAGAAAAAAAGAAAGTCTGACTATAATACTTGATGACAGACATCATGTTTAAGTAGAAAACACAAAGATAAAAAAGTAATATCGCTGAAAATATTGCACAACTTCAGGTGTTTCCTCCAAATTTGCTTTATGTAATTGGATATAAATTAATGAACAAAAACTTAAGCAAGATACATGTAACAATTTAACAGAACCTGATAATCTATAATTTCTTTCAGTTTTTCTCAAACTCATCATGGGGCTCATAAGAAAATTAACCAACATGGATACTGCTACAGTTGAATGTCAAATCTTTAAGTGCTTATGACATACTAAATTCTTCTATAATATAATTATGAAGAATCCTTCAAGAGACATGACTTGTGTTTTGTATGTAGAAAAGTGTTAAAGAGTCAAATATTCAACTCAATACAAAATAATAAGAAACATTTCTGATTTGTTAAGGTTGAGATTGCTTCTCCTTTCGCTAATAAATGATTTTTTAGTTGTAATTATCACTGAGCCAAACAAACATGTCACCTTCTAGTACATAACAAAAAATAAACACATGCTAAATGGATAAGACATTACAAACTACATCTTCGCTAGACCATCTCTACCTCTAACACTTCAGAAGCTTAGAGTTTCAGAGAATTCCTACATTAACTGCAAGAAAAAGATAAAGGAGAAAGTCCTTTTTTTGAGATCACAACTATGATGTCATGTGGTTATACAAATTCTGCATTTGTGTGCAAAACATTAATTAAACACATTTATCTTAATTCTCCCTGCTTAGAATTGTCAGTCAACTAGCAGGACTTTCCTTCTAAGAAACAGAGACTGAGATGTGTTTTATGTAACTTCAATAACCTCAGCAATACAATAAGAGATGCAGTATCCTTTTGCTATGGTTCAAGACAACAGGGTCACAGGAAAGAAAAAATCAAAATTGTTACAACTGAGAAACTTTCTCAGTTTAACCATGTTGCCACTTTCATTTTTACATAAGCATGGTGGCATAATTCAAGCTCAATAAATCAGAATTCCTAATATTTAAAATTTACCTTGACTTTTAATTATCACCATATTAACAACCAAAATAATTATCACCCTATTAACAACCAAAATAATTAGATGAAACACATAAGAAAGGCTAATATTAAACCTGACTTTACTAGAGTTGGTTTCTTGACACATTAACTGATTTTTATTTTAATAGAAAAGGGATAGTGCATCTCAGTTTGCTTACAAGCTAGGAGATCACTTTGAATTCTGCATTTCCTAACTGCAAACAGATATAGCACTTATAACAGGTTATAAATAAACTGGTTTTCAAGCATAGAGCCAGCCCCAACGATAATAACACACTATTTAAAAAAGACCTAAGGCAATGAATTCCATTTCCAATGGAAAAAAATAACTGTGCAAACAAGCTTAAAACTACTTTTTTTGTGCCAGTGTTATAAAATGTAGCTTTTAATAAAACCTTGACCCAAATGCCAGCAACTTCAGAAAAGAATTTGGGTGGGGGAGAAGAAGAAAGTTATTTCATTTAGGAAAAAACAACCACTATCTTTTTCCTAATCTTTGACACACACAATTGAAACATATACAGCTGCTGTAACACTTTACACAATTCCTATGTACTGGAGCAATAACAAGATCTAAATACAATTATATTTTTAAACACTGGGTCAAGGCTTTACATAAAAATACCATCCTACTTTTCCCCCTAAGTTTCTAAAATATCACGTACTTTTCCCCAACATCTGCAGCCATTCAGGAAATTTTAGGAAACTTTTGTGCATGATCTTAATTCCTAATCCCTGGCTCTTTGGGCTCAGTGACCAAAGATCAAAACCACCAAAAATGATGGTTCACTTGAAGTCAGATGAGAGACCCTGGCTCAATTAGTCTCGTAGGACGAAAGCAGTGCTGCATCAACTGGCTCCATGCAGGAGGGGCACGTGAAGGATCTCATCAACCAGTCATCTATACAGTCCAGGTGATAGATGTGCATGCACGGCAGAAATCGAATTGGGTCCCCATAAACAAAGTCCATCATACAGATCACACACCTGTTGGGGTGAGGGAGAGAAATGAGAAAGCATTTTTAGACAAGTCATCTATCTAGAATACTCTTTAAAATCCCTATTACAAAGACAGTGTTAATATGAACAGACAAAAATGGCTTCCTGTCATTCTATCACCTAAGCATCCAGATGGAATTTTTTCCTAGTGTTATCCTGCTACAATCTCTTATTTCAATCACCTGGGAATTTGAAGAGTTTGAGAACAATCAACAAAGAGAAAGGTATCAGATAGGAAATCAAGTCCACTGCTAGAATTGTGCTTGTAAAACAGCTACATGTTACAGAAAAAACCTTAAGGAGGATGTGAAGCTTTAGTAGACAAGAAAACATGTTAGATTAATATTATTTGAACTGAGTTTTCAGTGTAAGCCCAGACAGCTTTCATTTTAATAACTACATGTAAATACAGAACCACTAACCCTAAATGGTGCTACAGCTCAAACAGCCAAGCACAGAATAATAAATTTCTTTATGTCTGCATTGGTAAAGATCATTCTTAACCTACAAGGAAAATAGCTGTTCTCAGGGATTCTCAAACAGTAACAAACTCTGAGGGAAAAATCTCCCTGAAGTAAAATTTTATATTTAACTCATCAGACTTAGTACAATTATTCTATAAGTTAAGAAACAGATAAGATTTTCCTCATTATCACTAAAATCCTTAGCAAACAATTTTAACCTCTCTATAACCTACCAAAGTGTTCCTCTATTATTGTTTTTCACTAACTAAAACTATGGTAACTATCTCTGTGCATAAACTCTGGGAGCTGAAGTGAGGTACATATTCTAGGATAGATCTCTAGAATTAACTGTCTCAAAGGGTTCAGATCTAAAGGTCTGTGAAATATTGCCAAACGGGTCTACCAATTAATTAGGCCACCAACAATGCTGGTACTGGTTCACACTTATTACACAGGTAAATAATTTTTAACTGACATTAACTGTCACCCAAATGGACACAGACAACCTATAAAATGGTCAGAATTTGTACCATCATTTCTTATTTTTATATGAAAATTCTTAATTTCCACATCTAAACAAATTTTTGCCCAGAATTCATTAAATATGTGACTTTCAAAATGCAACAGAATATTTTTAAAAAACAAATCTCTGAAGACAGACCTTTGAAACATGTATAAATTAACACTTACTCCCGGATCTTTTTTTCTGATCCATCTCTTCCAGGGTCATAAACTCCTTTAGGCAGATGCTGTATAAGGCCTATTCTTTGAGCTATCCTAATTTGTTCCTCTTCAGTCAGCTGAGTTGCTAGGCGAGTCTGGCTAGGTGTTGGATGATAGACCGGAACTGGAACTTGTTCCTAAATTTTTTAAAATGGAGAAAATAATTAAATTTTTTTTAAAAAAATCTGTTTTCTAGGGTAATGTTTTCCTTCTGTTTCTTCCTTTTTTGGCTGAGGAGGGGACCTTGGGAGAGGGAGGAGATTGGACAAATGTGCATTGGCATGAAATTCTGTTTTACCCTGCCTTAACTTTAGCATATCTGACCTACTTTTAAAGGATATGAAAACAAGCTTTACTGTAAAACTGGCATGGAATGTTACTTGAAGTATTTCTATGGGAAAACCATATAACACAGACATATTCATTCCTGATACACAAATAGATAAATCAATGTAATTAATTAACCAAATGGACTGTATTCAATATTCTGTAGGCCACAATGGGAGTTTTGTCTTGGTATATATCATTATTTACATTAGAATTGGCTATTACAGAGTCTTCTTATTTGCAAACTTGTTTTTTTTTCCCATATAGACAACAATCTTAAAATTAGTTTTTTGTTTATTTGGAAAGATGAGACATTATCACAATAAATTCCTGTAAAATTCCTTTTAGGCTTTTGGATATATATTTGGATATGACTATCCACTGAGCCAAATGAGGCCACCTTTCTTCCAAATGGAATACACATTCGAGGACTCAACCGTGAATCATACAGTACTGTAGTACATATTGGCTGGAAAAAAAAAACCCATGTATAAGTGGACCTGAGCAGTTCAAACCTATGTAGTTCAAGGGTCAACTCTGTTCAAGCAACTGTATTGCTTTTTTTTCTACTCGCTGTGCTGTGCTTAGCTGCTCAGTCGTGTCCTACTCTTTGAGACCCTGTGGACTGTCTTCTGCCAGGCTCCTCTGTCCATGGGATTCTCCAGGCAAGAATACTGGAGTAGGTTGCCATGCCCTCCTCCAGGGGATCTCTCAACCCAGGGATTGAACCCAAGTTTCCCACATTGCCGGTGGATTCCTGTCTGAGCCATCAGGGAAGTCTCACATTTATGAGATAATTTTAGTCACACTCTTTATACATTGTTTCAACAGATACCTGAGTATCTATTATGTGTTAGGTGATGGGGAGTGAAGTGTAAACAAAATAAAGTTCCTTGATTGATGGAGAAAGCTACCTTATTAGATAAGATACTCAGAAAAACCTCTGATGAGACATCTGGGAAAAGATCTCAAATCGATGGATACAATGAAGATAGTTCGTCTCTGACCTAATGATTTCATTGTGGCTAAAACGATTTTTGAGCCACCTAATATGGTGTTTCAGATAACCTCTGTACTGAATAAACTGACTAAGACATAACACTTTCAATCTATGTATAACGTCTTCATGGGAAAACTTACATTAAATCACAACTATCTTGTCACATTAACAGAAAATGTTATTTTTATTCATCCTGTAGGATTGCTCATGATTTCTACAATTTAGGCATTTGTTTACAATGATAGCCAACATATGCAAGTAGGAGATTATGCCTTCAGGAATAATCGCTGAATTTGTTGACACAACCTTTTTAATAATTTGAAAAAACTGTTTAACAACTTAAAAAAAATCTGTGAAATAACCTCCCTAAGTATTCAGAACTAGCATCAGCTGAGGCTGTTTTTGGTCAATGGTTTCTGGGGTTCAAAAGAAAATAACAGAGAATACCCATAATGAGACTTTGTAAGGGCTCAGGTATAAATATGCTTTTCAAAGAGAAATTTTAGGGGCAAGTCTCAGATACATATACATTAGGCTCAAATACTGAAATATTTAATTCAAGGAAAAAGACATTTCATCACAATGTCTCCTAAAGATACAATTATGTTCCTTTAAATCAGCCCTATTCTTATAAACCCGTTTTCTGACTAGTTATTATTGAGTTTCTGGTCAAAGGCAATTCAACTCAAGACTATTTCTTTTGAGATTCAGAACAAATCTGTAATTAAAGATCTCCAAAAAAAGGTAAATTCTTATCAAACAATGAAAGTTATATTCTCTGACACAAGTAAAATGCCAGTAGTTCAAAGTTTCATGTTTTATAAATTCCCACATAAAATCAATAATGATTAATACTTCCAGCTCATCATCTAGATAATAACTAAGTATATGGATACCTATCAGAACTACATGCTTCATCCAAATATTTAGTTCATTTCACATGCAAAGAATATATTTTATCATCAAGTATGGTTTTGGGATCCAGATAACCTTGGATTCCTGTCAAAGTTACTTCTCTGCCACTAGAGTGACCATGTTGAAGAGATTTAACCTATCTGGATTACCCTACCTTATATGGTTGCTGTTAAAACTTAAATGAGAAAGATGGTGAACCTTAGAATGGCAGGAACTCACTAAACAGTGGCTTTTATAACTATCAATATTGCATTTGAAGAGCTCTACCTATTACTTCAGCCCAATTAGCTATTTCCTAAAAGTTTCAAGCTTGTCTATCTTACTGCCTTTGTTCTTGCAATTCCCTCTACTTTCCCCTGCAGGTCCACTGGTTCAAAGTATATTAATATCTTGTCAATGTAAAACTTTACCCAATCCTCCTCCTTGCCACCCAATATTGATAGACACTGCCTTTAGCCTCATCTTAATTACATGTGTCTGTCTATGAGAGAATTAAGATTAAACAGACTACAGTGAAACTTCAGTTAACAAATACAGTCATGAAGCAAGAAGAGGCTGTCAATTCTAGCTTTCAAAGAGGAAGTGAGGTACAAAACTGCATTTCTTTACCACAGCTTGAACGCTTTCCTTCAGTCCTATGAAACTTACATGACCCTTCTGTTATTAAAGATAATAAAAATGGCTGTTGCACCTCTAGTTTAGACATTTACCTATTAAAGATTTTATACATAGTGGGCAATTTTTTTTTTTTTTCCCTGAGCTCAAACCATTTTATGGTTTGAGGGGCTTCAGGGAAGGTCAAAAAGCTGGGAGGACAATGAGATTCAATGTCCTTCTCTGGACCATCTGCCCAGCTTCTACTAGGACTACTGTACATATGAAAGTTCATTAAATAAATGTTAGCTACTATTATTGTGGCTCCACTATTATGTGACAGCATTCCAACATTTACTTTAAGAAATGGACTGAATTTTCAATTTTGTATTTCAACTATACCTCAATAAAGCTGAAAATGAAATAACACAATTTTTTTTAAAAAGAAGAAATGGACCAGACTATGACAGAAGGAAGTAAAACATTTCAAAAAGAATCTTTAAGGACAACTTTCTCATTTTACAGGCCCAAGCTTGCCTACAGTTACATATGATCTGGTAGATAGAATGCCCAAAGAACTATGGACAGAGATTCCTAACACTGTATAGGAAGCAGTAACCAAAACCATCCCAGAGAAAAAGAAATAAGAGAAGGCAAAGTGGTTGTCTGAGGAGGGTTTACAAAAAGCTGAGAAAAGAAGTGAAAGGCAAAGGAGAAAGGGAAAGATACATCCATCTGAATGCAGAGTTCCAGAGAATAGCAAGGAGAGATAGAAGAAAGTTGTCTTAAGTGAACAAGGCAAAGAAACAGGAAAAAATAAGAGTGAGAAAGACTATGAGATCTCTTCAAGAAAACTGGAGATAAAGGGAACATTTCATGCAAAGATAGGCACAATAAAGGACAGAAACAGCAAGGGCCTAAAATCAGAAGAGATTAAGAAGAGGTGACAAGAATACACAGAAGAACTATCCAAAATGGTTTTAATGACCCGGATAACCACAATGGTGTGGTCTCTCACCTAGAGCCAGACATCCTGGAGTGTGAAGTCAAATGGGCCTTAGGAAACATTACTACAAGCAAAGCTAGTGGAGGTGATGTCATTCCAGCTGAGCTATTTTAAATCCTAAAAGAGGATGCTGTTAACGTGCTTCACTCAATATGTCAGCAAATTTGGAAAACTCAGCAGTGGCCACAGGACTGCAAAAGATCAGTTTTCATGCCAATCCTAAGTAAAGAAGGGCAATGCCAAAAATTGTTCAAACTACAATACAATTGTGCTCACTTCACATGCAAGCAAGGTAATGGTCAAAATCCTTCAAGCTAAGCTCCAATTGTATGTGAACTGAGAACTTTCAGATGTACAAGCTGGATTTAGAAAAGGTAGAGGAACCAGGGATCAAATTGCCAACATCTGTTGAATTACAGAGAAAGCAAGGGAATTCCAGAAAAGCATCTACTTCCACTTCACTGATTATGCTAGAGCCTTTGACGGTGTGGATCACAACAAACTGTGGAAAATTCTTAAAGAGATGGGAATACTACACCACCTTACCTGTCTCCCAAAAAACCTATATGCAGGTCAAGAAGCAACAGAATGGAGTGGTTCCAAATTGGGAAAGGAGTACGTCAAGGCTGTATTCTGTCACCCTGCTTATTTAATTCATACTCAGAGCACATCATGTGAAATGCCAGACTGGATGAAGCACAAGCTGGAATCAAAATTGCTGGGAGAAATATCAATAACCTTAGATACGCAGATGATACCACTCCGATGACAGAAAGCGAAGAGGAACTAAACAGCCTCTTGCTAAGGGTGAAAGAGGAGAGTGAAAAAAGGCTGGCTTAAAGCACAACATTCAAAAAACTAAGATCATAGCATCCAGTCCCATCACTTCACGGCAAACTGATGAGGAAAATGTGGAAACAGTGACTGCAGTCATGAAGTTAGAAGACATCTGCTACTTGAAAGAAAAGCTATGAAAAACTCAGCATATTAAAAAGCGGAGACATCACTTTGCCAAAAAAGGTCTGCATAGTCAAAGCTATGGTTTTTCCAGTAGTCATGTACGAATATGAGAGCTGGACCATTAAGAAGGCTGAGCATCAAAGAACTGATGCTTTCAAACTGTGCTGCTGGAGAAGACTCTTGAGAATCCCCTGCAAAGCAAGGAGATGGAACCAGTCAATCCTAAAGGAAATCAACCTGAATATTCATTGGAAGGACTGATGCTAAAGCTCCAATACTTTGGCCATCTGATGCAAAGAGCTGACTCACTGGCAAAGACCCTGCTGCTGGGAAAG